CTCTCTCTCTCTCTCTCTCTCTCTCTCTCTCTCTCTCTCTCTCTTTCTTTCTTTCTTTCTTTCTTTCTTATTTTTAGATTTGCTTCTTACTTTATGTAAAATCCTCAGTATAAATAAATAAATAAATAAATAAATACCGGTTGTTTTCCTACCCCTTTCTGGTTAATTGCCAGCTGGGCAGTGAACAAATATTTGGAAATTATTATTTCCATGATGCATGCAAGCATCGATAGAAACAATTGCACCCCTGTCTGTTCACTAAAAAATAACTCCAGAGTCCTTCTCACAACACCCAAACCTACATTCTCTAGGCCTTATAATAGCATCTGTGCAACCACACCCTTCAGTTTAGAAAGTCTTGTCACAGTTCATCCATTTCTAGTAGGTTTCTCTCGAACAGGCCCCATATCAATTTCTCAGCGGATACCTTACTGCTTTTCTCCTCTGAGTCCATATTTTTGTGTGGTGGAGGAAGTCATCGTCTAAGATCTGAGGAAAGGTGGTCAGGATTCCTGGTAAATCTGTATTCACAGATACCCCACTTTGTGTAGCTTGGCTAGACTCCTAGGATGAATTCAGCTTAAGGTTCACCAACACTCATCATGGCTAGTGAAGAATCTTTATTGCAAACTAGGATGAAGTTGTATGAACATGTTGATTGTCAGAATCAGAATACAAATTCCCTTACACTTCAAGGCCATTCAGACCCGTTCTTCCTGCTATGTTTCAATGGACTTGTTGAAGTGATGTCTTCATGGCCTTGAAGCTGAGCAAATGTTAGTTATTTCTATTGCATCCCTGTTTAGTTTAATTCTCACAGGTCAGGTTCTGGTGGACTTTGTGCATGTTTCAGAACTCCAAATCCAAAGATGTCTATTTTCACTGTAGGTAAGGTCAAAGAATTATTATTGAGTAGGCTGAAATTTATTACTCATAGCCTTATTGCCAACTCACTGATCTCCAAATCTGGAAATGTGTCCCTTAGCCTTATGCTTAATGTCTGCATACTACTTCATCCTGAACCAAGACAGTTGGTAAGTTTCTCTAATAGATAAATCATATTGTTTTTGATGGTTATTTAAGATGTGTTTTTATTGTTTTGTTTTATTGTACGCCATCCAAGGTCACATTTGTGAGATGGGTGGCTATATAAATTTGATGATTGATTGATTGATTGATTGATTGATAGATAGATAGACAGACAGACAGACAGATAGATAGATAGATAGAGATCTACAATTAGGGTTAGGGCTAGGGCACAAGAAACCAGAAGTTTAGTGTGATTATTACATCAGAAAACAGTCAAGCTAGTGTTGCTTCTGATGTCATATGAGACATAGACAGCAATATAATCTTTGGCAACACTCTCTTCCTGTTCTTTCCTTCACTGTGGATGCCCCATGAACCTTTCTTCAATTATCAATCAAGCCATTTCCATTACTCCTTGGACAATATGAAAAAACATTGGATGCTCTTTTAACCTGACACATTTAGGAATGTTGAGCATTATCAATAACAACCTCCAAAGGATAACCGGAAGAACTAAAATATCTCTCAAAGATTAGCAACAGCCTGTAAAGAGAGGTAATTTAAATATATCCAGATAATAGTCAGTAAACACAGAAGGTATTTTACAGTTCCCACAATAGTGATACCCAGTTAGCCCTAGGATGAGATGGGATTTCAAAAGGACATGACAATTGAATCTCAAATTAAAGCACAATTCTTGATATAACATTCACATCTTAGTCTATATTTGGCCAGCAAAACTTTGTGCAAAGTTTTACTCACATTCTTTTGATGGCTCTCATGAGCAAAGACCCAGGTTGATGTACCTTAGAATAGGGATAACAATTCTATACTGGAGCAACAAAATGATAAAATATAAATTTGTCAAATAAATAAACTAAAAAGGGCTAGTTCAACAGGGTGTCCCAATAGCCATTTATTGGAATGAATAATGTCATGTGTGATCAAAGGAGGATCTTTTGATTAGATATAGTTCCTTGAGTGAGACAGCCTGAAAAGAAAATAGGCAAGGATCAACGACTCACTGAACATAAGGATACACTAATGAACCTCTAAGAGAAGGAAATGAGTAATTCTCAGATTCAATTTTATCTATATCTATATCTATGTATCTATATCTATATCTATATATCAGGATAACAACTTCTGGTTCTAATGACAAATTGAATATGTAGATAGAAGCAATGCCTCTTTGTGGTTGAAATAGGTGTATGTAGTGGGTGTAGTTTGTGCTTAATCCTCAGTAGGGATATGCAGAACACAGTGATACAAGAATGGAACATTCCGGAGAACTCTCTAACATTCTGTTCTACTTCCAGACCATGGCAACTGTCCAGCACACTGCACTGTTCTAAGGAGATCTGGCAGTTTTCTGAAAGAAATCCTCTGGCCCAGAACTGGTTCATGGTATTCCAGAGATGGTCTGGTTCCCAAACCCATCTCCAGGGTACCTCAAACCATTTCTAGTTCAGAGGATTTACTTCCAGAAATTGCCAAATTGCTTCTGGAGTAGCATGGTACCATAGAGATTCAGCATGTCTAGAGTGGGAATGGAAGGTTCCAGATTCTTCTTCTTATCCCTGGCACTCAATACAAATCAGCACCCCCTCATAAATATTATGCGATCTACAGCCCATACACACACCAAAGTTGCATATTTGGTTTGTGAATATTTCTGCTCAGGGCAGAAAGTGGAAAACTAACATTGGCTTCAGGTTTGATGACTTCTGTCGTAAGTTGGCACATCCTAGAGGTCTACCTTCGGTCATCACAAAAGTCAGGATGGTCAACCTATCCTTGCAGAGTTGCTGTTGCAAAGAGAAAAAGAAGATCACCATGGAAGTTGCCTTGAGTTTTTGGAAGAACAGCAGGACTTCAAGCTAACAAAAAACAACCAAAGTTCCTGAATCAGTCCACCTTAAAATGATTAAATGCAGAATCCACTGCTCAATACTGTTTTTGAGCTAATAATTAAACTGATTCTGAAATACCTGAATTGTTGGGGACTAGTTTCATAAGACAGCCAAAGGTTATCATCTAAAGAGGCCCTCTTGGAAGTTCCCCTCTTTGCGAGGTTCATGGGATATGGGATAGATGACTGACGTGCTTTCTCTGGAAGTACACACAGCTCCTATCTAGTTAATATTCCACACAGAAGCCAAGGGTGTACTATTTATTAGCAAACCTTTGACCCATAATAGTCCTGAGTGGAGTTGTTCATCCTCTATATTTAATTTTTAGATGTTATTATTCTTATGTTATGTGTTGCCATATGCTATGTATGCTACGTCCTCCAAGATGGGAGCATATGGTAAACACTGTAAATAAATAAATTGCTAAAAAGAAAAAGGATAAAGAACATTTAAGTTGCCCAGTGCTGACAGGCTGTAAAATGAGAATTTCATGAGGCCCCAAATGAGTCTCATTTTTGTTCAAGACAATCCCCGTTTCTGAAACTTTGCAAAAACTGTCATCATTTACAAAACTCATCAAAAGTTTCAGCAATCTTCCCAGCATTGTCCATGTGCCAGAAAAGCTCCATTAAATGAAGGTCATTACTTTTGTATAAGAGTACTAGGATGATCAAATAAAAACATTGTGAAAGAAATAACATCCATGGTATGTCATATGCTTACATCCTGGCACAAGAGTTAACTTAAAAAAAAAAAAAATTAGGATCTAATTTGGCAAAAATCTTGACGCCTTGCATCTTAAACAAAATTGACACTGTATGATACTGCAGCCTTATTGACTTCTCTCAAATCAATACAAAATCTAATTTCAGGAAACGCTTTTATGGCACAATCAAAACTTTAAACATCCAGTTGCTGCTGTCATGGATCTTCTCTAGAATGCCTCTTGACAATAGTTTATCGAATCCCTCATTCATAACTTCCAGTAGAACATAATGAATGCACTACAGGTTCCTGAGAACAGAAGGAACTGAATCAACCAATGTAACCTTATGAAAATTTTCTGTAATCTGCACAAAGTCTTTAAACAGAATGTTAAATCAATTCACTACGTCAAGACTGAGTTTGAGAAATTACATCAGAACCATGATGTAGAGAGCCATCTTTCCGTAGAAGGCAGTGTTAAAAAGGACCTTATCTCCACATCGCCTTCAAGAACAGACATAAAATCAGCCATAATATAGTTTCTTCAAATAAATTGTGCTACAAAATATCCCGTGTGTGTTGTTCAGTTGCTCCACTGCTTCCCATTCTTCGTGGCCCAACAAGCATCATTTTGCCAGGACTGTCAATCAGTGATTGCTTCTCTGAGTTCTTGAAAGCTCCTGTGATGGTACCTAGTCACCTTGTCTTCTGTCAGCCTCTTTTTCTACTGCCTCTGATTTTTCTAAGCATCAATGACCTTGCCTTTGCATTAGGTATCCAAATGTTTAAACCTTAGCTTCGTTATTAACCCTTGCTATGAGAAGTCTGGCTTTATTTCATCTAATATTAACAGTTAGTTCTTGTTGCAGTTTTGTTGCAGACATTCTCAACAACTTTTTCATAGGTCTTCATAGTGCTTGATCATCCTCACTGCCTTTCCAATTGGTCTGACTTCTAAAAGCATGTTGGCCCAAATCAGACATAATACTTGGGGTAGAATCTGACCTAAGCAAAGAAGGGGAAACTCTAGCTTGTTCAGACATTACTTTCTCATGTTCAGTCCATCACATGAGGAACAAGAAGCAGCCCCGCTCCTTTCCTAGTTTTACTGATGATGTGAGTGAATAGATGATGTTCATGCATATAACACAGTTCTTTGAAGGAGAATATCTACCACTACCTAAGATTACATCCATGTGAGCTGGAACCTTGATAGTGGTTCATGTGGCAGGTAATGGCTCAACAGGGTTTCTTATTTCCTATAATGATTAGGAAACTATGGCTTTATGGATGCAGCCTAGAATTCCACTTGTATTTTATTTCATTAGCAGCAACATAAGACTGCTGGCTCATAATTGCATTGCAATAAACTATAATTCCAAAAATTTTTATACAGATACCATTGTATGTGTTTAAATACATTTGTCTCTGTCTCTCTATCATCTATCTATCTATCTATCTATCTATCTATCTATCTATCTATCTATCTATCTATCTATTTCTAAAGATGTCTGGGTGGCAGATAGAACTTTGATATGGTTTTGGTCAAAACCAACAGGACTCCATGTTAAGAAAATGTTCCTTCTTGCCAAAAGTTTAAAAGAAAAATATTCATTTTCAGTCAGCCAGATTTAGGTTAGCTCTTGGAAAGGAACCTCAAAAAATCAAGAGATGAACATTCAACATGAAATAATTCTGGAAATGAAATAGTACAGAATCAAGGTTTGAAGATTTAGCACAGTTTTATCTCTGGCTCAACTTGACATGAATTGAGTACTGCATAGAGAAACTTTCTACAACCTGCTGATCTTCCACTGGTTTGGATTTGAACTCCCCAAATTTCCCACCAGCAAAGGCAAAATCCCCAATACTCACACACACTTGAAGGGCTGGAGAAATGTTACACAAACTTAGTACAATTATTATTGTTGGGTGGTTGACCCTGGTAAGCAAAGCATCATTTGTGAAGTGGTAAAAATCTGCCTTACGTTGAATCCAGCTCTTGGGTCATGCAGGCTTATCTATTGCCCAGTCTGGCTCTTCAGAAGCTTGGATAAGATCTTTTCCAGTCTGCTTTTCAAAAACACTTCAATGGACAGACCAAGAGTTGAACTTGTCCTCCACCACTGAGGTTCTGCAGCTGCTATTTCACCTGCTCCTTTCTTATCGCTGTTTAGCTTTCTATGACCTCTCAAAGCCAAGAAGATGACAACGTAAACCTCTGAAATCTTTTCCTGCCCATTCTGCACCCACTTTTGGCTGCAGTTCTACTTGCTTGGATTCCACAGTAAAGGCAAAGATGACTTTACCAACAATAAATGTGTTCTTTGATCCAATATACTTTTTTTCCTGGATTATGACTGTTAAGTGATAAAGTCTTTGGGGTCATGGAGGAAGGCAAACAGTGGCTGGTTAAATAAAGCTGATTTAAAAATGAAATTGCTTAGCAAATGTGTAGTGGTCTGCCAAAATATACACGGCGCCCAATGGAAGCCAAGAGCTTCAGAGAAATCTAACATTTTAACTGCTGGTCTGGATTTTTGCAATGCAAATATGGTCGTTCCAATCCTTTCTATCTGGGGATTAAAACAAACAAAAGAAGCACAAGCTAATACATTAAATTCAGGCTGTTGACCTTCACTGAAAGATCCTCGTAAAGCTGTAAATTAGGCTTTGGGCTTAATTGTGCTCAGGAACTGGGCCTTTCTTTTTTGAAGGAGAGAGAAAAGAGATCGAATGACAGTATCGGACAGTTCCTTGCACTTGCTCAACCTGCAAGCAGGATGTTAAAATATTTTAATGCATTTTAAGTTCTAAACATTATTCTTTGTCCCATGCTTCCCGCTAGGGTGGTAATTCTCATTATCACCGTATGTTACTGCTTAATTTGTGCCTGTTCACACTGGAAAGTTCAAAATTGCAGCTTGCTATATAAACAAGCCTCTTGGCTGCAGATTTATAGCGTGTACCTGAATAGAGGACCTCCTCCAGAAAATTGCTCAAAAGTATTATAATTATTAGCTCAAGGCTCCCTGGGGAGTGATGCAAACTACGCTCTCTGGTTTTGATAATAACTGAACCCCCTGAATCTAGAGAGAGAGCTTCAGATTGCTTTAAGGCAATGTTTCTCAAACTTAGCAACTTTAAG